TGAGACCGGAGGGCCAGGGCTAAACCAACCACGCCACGCAACCCACTAAAAGGAGTATGCAACTAGGATCTAACTAGCTTCATAGACATTACTTATCTACTCATACATGAGTAATGATAGCGAGGTTTTACACACACTCCCCGTGGGCACTCGGTGAAAATTGATTTAGAAATTCGGTATATATATGAAAGATATCAATGCGGCTTTGCATTATTCCATCTTTCATATATCTACATATACTGGTTTATTTACTTACGTGTGTCGATATGTATGTACTGGACTGTATCCCATTCATTGCAACGCAGGTAAGTTAATTAATATTTTTTTGCGTGGGTCGATATTTCCAGGCAAACAAGCGGGAATGTCTTTACATGGATTTGTGTGGATGGGCATGCGTGTTTTGGTGCGAGCGGATATTTCACTACTGGTGTTTCCATGCACATTTAAGTGTGGCGAAATATTATGATACTTGATTAATTTCATTTGGCACAGTTGTCACGAACTGGCATTAACGCTTCATAGTATAGTACCTTTAATCTTTTAGTAATATCCTTTTACCAGACTGCAGGTCCTACTCAAGAATAAAAAGTTTTCTTTTCCATTCGTAATCAACATTCTGAACCGCTAATTATGTTAATTCAAATCCATTCTTCTCGTCCATCCTTAATTGACCCCTTGGTTTCCATCCTTAACTGACCCCATGGTGTCCATACTTAATTGACCCCTTGGTTTCCATCCTTAATTGACGCCGTGGATTAACCGCTTTCCTGGCAAGGCTGATAGAAGTGGATCCTGTGTTCCCGCACCACCTGTGTAATCTAAGTAGATTTGATATTGTTCCATGGAACAAAGAAAATAATTCATCGCCAGTTCATCATCAAATCCGCGATGGAGCTTGTTACCATCAGCAGAGGGGAAGACTCCTACACGCTGGGCACGATATTCGGCTCATTAATAGATCATAAGCAGTGATGCATAAGAGACTGATAAGATATTATCAATCTAATTCATACCTTTCAACATCAGATGTAAGAAGGGGAATGTTCGCCTGCTTAAAAAAAACAACAAAAAACTAGCATGTGTGCGTGACCATATCCGCAGATAACAGTGATCACTGTCATCGAACACATTGTTACTTGACCTTAAAACGAAAATCACGGTGTATATAAGATCACCTCCTTTGCGCTGCATCAGTATCATCTCTCATATCCATGATGGTAAGACTTCTGCGGCAGAGTGAATATTGATTTCAATTGCTAAAGGTTTCACGTTTAGTATGTCCTGCATACAGATAGGTAAAAGTGTTCTCATATTACAGCTCAGGTAAGGCAAGATACCCTGTTGCTTTCAGAGACGGAGTGCGTTGGTGGTGTTGGGCTTGCTGGTCGGTTCGGCCTACAGCAGCTGCCTCGGCGGAGGCTGTGGTGGAGGATCCTCTGGTGGCATTAGCCGTTCCTACGGAGGACCCACTAATAGTTTCGGAGGTTCTGGAGGAGGAGGCGGGTCCTTCGGAGGAGGATCCTTCGGAGGAGGATCCTTCGGAGGAGGATCCTTCGGAGGAGGATCCTTCGGGGGAGGATCCTTTGGAGGAGGTTCTGGAGGTGGCGGTGGAGGAGGAATAAGTACCAGTTATGGAGGACCAACCAATAACTTCGGTGGAGGAGGAGGTGGCGGTGGGTCCTTTGGGGGAGGTGGATCCTTCGGAGGAGGATCTTTCGGAGGTGGTGGGTCCTCTGGAGGAGTAAGTACAAGTTACAGCGGACCAAGGGCCAGCTCCGGAGGAGGTGGCCGTGGATCTGTCGGAGGGGGCAGAGGATCCTTCGGAGGAGGCGGCGGTCGCTTCGGTGGCGGATCTTCTGGCGGAAGGGGCGGTGGTTTCGGCGGCGGAAGAGGATCCTTTGGCGGGGGAGTGAGCAACACTTACAGTGGCCCAAGCAATAACTTCGGAGGCTCTAGCGGAGGCGGTGGAGGAGGGCTTGCAGGAGGATCCTTTGGCGGCGGAGGCGGCGGGTCTTTCGGTGGTTCAGGCGGCGGTGTGTCTGGCAGTTACCTGCCGCCCTCCGGGAAATAACTGCATCTACAGGAGAAACACATGTTCTATTGAATGAATGTAATGCATGTTGAGAATAAATAATTTAACAATCAAACGATTTTTTGTCGTTAATATATGAAAAGTAACGAGAACAAGACATATTCTCGATACCGTAATGGTAATAATATTACGGGTAATGATAATGCTATTAATATATGATATAAGGAATGCTAATATAGCCTCCGGGCTAGTACAGTGGTAATGTGTCGGCCTCTCATCCGAGGGGTCGGCGGTTCGCGCCCCGCCCAGGCGCGAGAAGTTGCAATTGTCGCCTGGAGGTTACTGCTGTGGCTGGCACCACGGCGGGTAAGGAATACGCTCATCCGAGTCAGCACCAGCTGATACACATTAGCGAGTCGGTATTAGTCGACACAGGCCGGGATCCCCTCATGGGCATAGCCCGGCCGAGGCTTAGCTTCGCATATCGGACTTATCCTTAATGCTTATATCAGTAATATTAATAATGATACTAATGGCACTAATGATGAGAGTTACACATACACACACACACACACACACTCTCACACACACACACACACATATATATACTCTTTGTATATAAACAGAACACTCCACTGACCATACAACCAGTGACAAATAGGTCAGCAGCATTTTTGACAAAGGAAACCACCAAATCAATAGCCTCCTCACATAAACCAGCATCAGAGGGTGTGGCTCATACGGACTTGAAGCACAGAACACTCACTATCTTCTGCGAAGCCGTCAATGTATTTTAATGAAATAAACAATAGGATTACCTAGAATATCTTATATATGTTTTTAAACATTGTACTATGTACTATTTGCATAAGCGTGAATACATACGTAAGTATATGTGGGTACATTAGATCAATAGATATGAATTATTGTTGTACACTATTACATGAGGCTAAAGAGATACATAAGCATAAGCGTCTATGCGCGCCCATATATAAATCTATGTGTGAACACAGACAAACACTACACACACACTACATACTATATATATATATATATATATATATATATATATATATATATCATGTGTCTGCTTGTGTATGTGTTTGTGTTTTTTATGTGTATACCTATACGCACGTGTGTATGTCCGTGTATGGATATGTGTGTGTGTTCGTTTGTGCGTGTGTCTGTACGTGTGTGAGTGTGTTTATGTGTGCGTTTATCTTGCTGAAGCACACATATACATACATATTTTTATATGTATATGTATATATATATATATATATATGTACTGGTTTATTTACTTACGTGTGTGGATATGTATGTATGTACTGGACTGTATCCCATTCATTACAACGCAAGTAAGTTAACCCATTCGCCTCGGATTTATGTTCTGTCCCCTGTAGTTTTTGGGGAATTTTGTTACATACAGATGGCTCCACATGTGCTCAGCCGGCAAGGAATCTATAGTAGACCCTAGCTACCGACCCTGATTTTCCCATTCATTCTATTGGCGGGATAATTAATACCATTGCTATCGATACTGTTATTATTGTTATTGATGTTATGGTTATTAAATTGCCATTAGAATAATTTACGCAATAAAAGGATACAAAAGAAAAGCTTTCCTAAATTGAAGGAAAAGGGTAAACAGGTGAAATAGGTAGTTCTTGATAACTGGCTATTGGGTGATTAAGAACTTGTGGAGCCATCTATGTGTAAATACAATAAATAAACGTGTATCAAAGTGGGTATAGCATCTATTCTTGCCACGTGGGGCGAATGGGCTAATTAATATTTTTTGCGTGGGTCGATATTTCCAGGCAAACAAGCGGGAATGTCTTTACATGGATTTGTGTGGATGGGCATGCGTGTTTTGGGGCGAGCGGATATTTCACTACTGGTGTTTCCATGCACATTTAAGTGTGGCGAAATATAATACCTTGATTATTTTTCATTTAGCACATTTGTCAGTAGCTGGCATTGGCGCTTAATACTATCTTTCTGCTGATGGAATTTACTTTTTAAAATCTTTTATCTTTTAATACTGAAAGCCTTTTACCAGAATGCAGGTCCTACTCAGGAATCAAAAGTTTATTATTCACAGTCAACATTCTGAACTAGAAAGAATGTTAATTCTTATCCCATTCTTCTCCTCCATCCCTAATTGACCCCTTGGTTTCCATCCTTAATTGACCCCTTGGTTTCCATCCTTAATTGACCCCTTGGTTTCCATCCTTAATTGACCCCTTGGTTTCCATCCTTAATTGACCCCATGGTTTCCATCCTTAATTGACCCCGTGGATTGACCGCTTTCCTGGCAAGGCTGCTAGAAATGAATCCTGCATGTGTTCCCGCAGCATCTGTGTAGTATAAGTACACCTCATTCCTGGCAATAAATTGCCTACATTTGGCCTTGTTCCTTGGCGTTAATGCTACATATATGGAAAATAAATAATCGCCAGTTCATCATCAAATTTGCGACGTTTATGTACACGTTGGGTACGATATTCAGCTCATCAGTAGATCATTAGTAGTGATGCATAAGAGACTTATAAGATATGGTCAGTCTAATTCTTACCTTTCAACATTAAATGTAAGAAGGGGAATATTCGCTTGCCTAAACAAACGAGCAGGAAAATTTCCACCTGCACGAAACTTCAAACGGAAAAATGGCGCTTGTGTGTATGTGTGTATGTGTGTATGTGTGTGTGTCCATATCCACAGTGACCACTGTCATCTACAACGATGTTGCTTGACCTTAAAATGAAAATCACGGTGTATATAAGATCACCTCCTTTGCACAGCCTCAGTATCATCTCTCTTATGCATGATGGTAAGACCTCTGCGGCAGAGTGAATATTGATTTCAATTCTTATAAAAAGTTACATGTTTAGTATGTCCTGCATACTGATAGGTAAAAGTGTTCTCAAATTACAGCTCAGATAAGGCAAGATACCCTGTTGCTTTCAGAGACGGAGTGTGTTGGTGGTGTTGGGCTTGCTGGTCGGTTCGGCCTACAGCAGCTGCCTCGGCGGAGGCTGTGGGGGAGGATCCTCTGGTGGCATCAGCCGTTCCTACGGAGGACCCACTAATAGCTTCAGGAGGTTCTGGAGGAGGAGGAGGATCCTTCGGGGGAGGATCCTTTGGGGGAGGATCCTTCGGAGGAGGATCCTTCGGGGGAGGATCCTTTGGAGGAGGTTCTGGAGGTGGCGGTGGAGGAGGAATAAGTACCAGTTATAGAGGACCAACCAATAACTTCGGTGGAGGAGGAGGGGGCGGTGGGTCCTTTGGGGGAGGTGGATCCTTCGGAGGAGGATCTTTCGGAGGTGGTGGCGGATCCTTCGGTGGCGGGTCCTCTGGAGGAGTAAGTACAAGTTACAGCGGACCAAGGTCCAGCTTCGGAGGAGGTGGCCGTGGATCTGTCGGAGGGGGTAGAGGATCCTTCGGCAGAGGGTCCTTCGGAGGAGGATCGTTCGGCGGAGGCGGCGGTCGCTTCGGTGGCGGATCTTCTGGCGGAAGGGGCGGCGGAAGAGGATCCTTTGGCGGGGGAGTGAGCAACACTTACAGTGGCCCAAGCAATAACTTCGGAGGCTCTGGCGGAGGCGGTGGAGGAGGGTTTGGAGGAGGATCCTTTGGCGGCGGAGGCGGCGGATCTTTCGGAGGTTCAGGCGGCGGTGTGTCTGGCAGTTACCTGCCGCCATCCGGGAAATAACTGCATCTACAGGAGATTATATTCTATCAAATGGATGTAATGAATTTTCTGAGAATAAATTATTTAACAATGGAACGATTTTTAGAGTCGTTAATATTTGAAAATTAACGAGAACAGGGAATATTCTCGATTTTGTAATGATAAAATAATATGGTTATTAATAATACTGATAATGTAAAATAATATGAATAATGCCAATATCAGTAATTATTACAATGATAGCAACAGTAATAATGGTGACAGTTATACACACACACACACACATATATACATATATATATATATATATATATATATATATATATATATATATATATATATATATATACATATATTCTTTGTGAATATAATCAGAAAACTCCATAATACAAACACAGAAAACAGGTCAGCAGCATATTTAACAAAGGAAACCGACAAATCACTAGCCTAAATTTATTTATTTTCGTGTGTGAATATGTTTGTATGTACTGGACTATACTCCAATAAGCCTCTGGGCTAGTACAGTGATTCCGTGTCGGCCTCTCATCCGAGGGGTCGGCTGTTTGCGCCCCGCACAGGCGCGAGAAGTTGCAATTGTCGCCTGGAGGTTACTGCTGTGGCTGGGCACCACGGCGGGTAAGGACGAAGCTCTGCCGAGTCAGCACCAGCTGACACACGTTAGCGAGTCGGCATTAGTCAACACAACCCAGGCTCCCCACATGGACATAGCCCGGGCGAGGCTCAGCTTCGCTTATCCTTATGTATTCCAATTACGCAGGTAACTTAATTAGTGTTTTTTGTGCGATATTTCCAGGCTTTTAGGCTTTGCGGAAGCGGGAATGTCTTTACGTGGATTTGTGTATATGAGCATGCGTGTTTTGGTGCGAGCGGATATTTCACTACTGGTGTTTCCATGCACATTTAAGTGTGGCGAAATATTTTGATACTTGATTAATTTCATTTGGCACAGTTGTCACGAACTGGCATTCACGCTTCATAGTATAGTACCTTTTATCTTTTAGTAATATCCTTTTACCAGACTGCAGGTCCTACTCAAGAATGAAAACTTTTTTTTTTCTATTCGTAATCAACATTCTGAACCGGTAATTATGTTAATTCAAATCCATTCTTCTCGTCCATCCTTAATTGACCCCTTGGTTTCCATCCTTAACTAACCCCTTGGTGTCCATACTTAATTGACCCCTTGGTTTCCATTCTTAATTGACGCCGTGGATTGACCGCTTTCCTGGCAAGGCTGATAGAAGCGGATCCTGTGTTCCCGCACCACCTGTGTAATCTAAGTAGACCTCATACCAGCCATTAATTTGCTTAGATTTGATATTGTTCCATGGAACAAAGAAAATCATTCATCGCCAGTTCATCATCAAATCCGCGATGGAGCTTGTTACCATCAGCAGAGGGGAAGACTCCTACATGCTGGGCACGATATTCGGCTCATTAATAGATCATAAGCAGTGATGCATAAGAGACTGATAAGATATTATCAGTCTAATTCATACCTTTCAACATCAAATGTAAGAAGGGGAATATTCGCCTGCGTAAAAAAAAAAAAAAAAAAAAAAAAAAAAACAACTAGCATGTGTGCGTGACAATATCCGCAGATAACAGTGGTCACTGTCATCGAACACATTGTTACTTGACCTTAAAACGAAAATCACGGTGTATATAAGATCACCTCCTTTGCGCTGCATCAGTATCATCTCTCATATCCATGATGGTAAGACCTCTGCGGCAGAGTGAATATTGATTTCAATTCTTGCTAAAGGTTTCACGTTTAGTATGTCCTGCATACAGATAGGTAAAAGGGTTCTCATATTACAGCTCAGGTAAGGCAAGATACCCTGTTGCTTTCAGAGACGGAGTGCGTTGGTGGTGTTGGGCTTGCTGGTCGGTTCGGCCTACAGCAGCTGCCTCGGCGGAGGCTGTGGGGGAGGATCCTCTGGTGGCATCAGTCGTTCCTACGGAGGACCCACTAATAGCTTCGGAGGTTCTGGAGGAGGAGGCGGGTCCTTCGGAGGAGGATCCTTCGGGGGAGGATCCTTTGGAGGAGGTTCTGGAGGTGGCGGTGGAGGAGGAATAAGTACCAGTTATGGAGGACCAACCAATAACTTCGGTGGAGGAGGAGGGGGCGGTGGGTCCTTTGGGGGAGGTGGATCCTTCGGAGGAGGATCTTTCGGAGGTGGTGGCGGATCCTTCGGTGGCGGGTCCTCTGGAGGAGTAAGTACAAGTTACAGCGGACCAAGTACTAGCTTCGGAGGTGGCAGTGGATCTGTCGGAGGGGGCAGAGGATCCTTCGGAGGAGGATCGTTCGGCGGAGGCGGCGGTCGCTTCGGTGGCGGAGGAGGATCGTTCGGCGGAGGCGGCGGTCGCTTCGGTGGCGGAGGAGGATCCTTTGGCGGGGGAGTGAGCAACACTTACAATGGCCCAAGCAATAACTTCGGAGGCTCTGGCGGAGGCGGTGGAGGAGGGTTTGGAGGAGGATCTTTCGGAGGTGGTGGCGGATCCTTCGGTGGCGGGTCCTCTGGAGGAGTAAGTACAAGTTACAGCGGACCAAGTACTAGCTTCGGAGGTGGCAGTGGATCTGTCGGAGGGGGCAGAGGATCCTTCGGCAGAGGATCCTTCGGAGGAGGATCGTTCGGCGGAGGCGGCGGTCGCTTCGGTGGCGGAGGAGGATCCTTTGGCGGGGGAGTGAGCAACACTTACAGTGGCCCAAGCAATAACTTCGGAGGCTCTGGCGGAGGCGGTGGAGGAGGGTTTGGAGGAGGATCCTTTGGCGGCAGAGGCGGCGGGTCTTTCGGAGGTTCAGGCGGCGGTGTGTCTGGCAGTTACCTGCCGCCCTCCGGGAAATAACTGCATCTACAGGAGAAACATATGTTCTAGTAAATGAATGTTATGTATGTTTTGAGAATAAATTATTTAACAATGGAGCTATTTTTAGAGGCGTTAACATATGAAGATTAACGGGAACAGGGGATATTCTCGATTCTGCAATGATAGTAATAGTATGGGTATTGATAATACTGATAATATACGATGGTATAAATAATGATGATAGTAATAATTACAATGATAGTAATGGTAATAATGATGGCAGTCACACACACACATATATATCTACATATATCCTCTGTGTATATAATTAGAAAATACCATCAATGAAACAAATACAGACAAACAGGCCAGCAGCATTTTTAACAAAGGAAACCACCAAATCACTAGCCTCCTCACATGTACCATCATCAGAGGGTGTGGCTTTTACGGTCTTAAAGCACAAATCCCTCACTACCTTCCCCGTTTTACTGAATGCATTTAAACGAAATAAATAATACGTCTATCTAGAATATCTCTTTTTTTTCTAAACCTTTTATTATACACTATTCACATCAGAATGAATACATGCATATGTATTTGTATGTGTGTATTTATAAATCTATAAATAAATCATCCTGTTAAACACTATTACCATAAGGCTGAATAGATATATGAGCATATCTGTGTGTGAGCGCGTCCCTATATAGATAAAGAAATAAATATACATACATATATATACGTATGTATGTATATGTGTGTGTGCGTGTGCTTGATATACATACACGCACGCACGCATGTACAGACATACATACGCACACACACACACACACACACAGTCGTGTGTGTATATACGCATAAATATGTATATACACATATACATACATATTTATATATGTATGTACTATATAACTATATATGCACTCATTTATTTAGGTGTGTGGATATGTATGTACTGGACTGTACCCTTAATTAACGTTTTTTTTCGTGGGTCGATATTTTCCAGACTTAGGCTTTGTGCAAGCGGGAATGTCTTTTCATGTGGATTTGTCTGGATGGTCATGTGTGTTTTGGTGCGAGCGGATATTTCACTACTGGTGTTTCGATGCACATTTAAGTGTAGTGGAATATTATGTTACCTGATTATTTTTCATTTAGCATATTTGTCACTAACTGGCATTGACGCTTAATACTATCGCTCTACTGTTGGAATTTACTTTTTTAAACCTTTTATATTTCAATAATGATAGCCTTTTACCAGGCTGCAGGTCTTACTCACAAGACGGATTTGTTTCACAATCAATATTCTGAACTGGAAATGATATTAATTCGCATGTCATTCAGTTCGTTCATCCTCAATTGACCCCATGGTTTGACCGCTTTCCTGGCAAGGCTGCTAGAAGTGGATCCTGCATATGTGTTCCCGGAGCATCTGTGTAATATAAGTAGACCTCATACCTGGCAATAAATTGCTTACATTTGGCCTTGTTCCTTGGCGTTAATGCTGTATATCTGGAAAATAAACCATCGCCAGTTCACCATCAAATTCCAGATGGAGTTTGTTACTACTAGCATAGGAGACAGGCTTTTTTTTATGAAGGATACTCCTACACATTGGGCACGATATTCGGTTCATCAATAGATCATAAACAGTGATGCATAAGAGGCTTATAAGATATCATTTTAATTCATACCTTTTAACATCAAATGTAAGTAGAAACATATTCACCTACCTAAAAAAAGAGCAGGGAAATTTTCACCCTCACAAAATTTCAAACGGAAAAGTGGCGCTTTTGTGTATGTATGCGTGTTCATATCCACAGATAACAGTGACCACTGTCATCTAAATCGATGTTGCTTGACCTTAAAACGAAAATCACGGTGTATATAAGATCACCTCCTTTGCGTTGCATTAGTATCATCTCTCATATTCATGATGGTAAGACCTCTGCGGCAGAGTGAATATTAATTTCAATTCTTGCTAAAGGTTTCACGTTTAGTATGTCCTGCATACAGATAGGTAAAACGGTTCTCATATTACAGCTCAGGTAAGGCAAGATACCCTATTGCTTTCAGAGACGGAGTGTGTTGGTGGTGTTGGGCTTGCTGGTCGGTTCGGCCTACAGCAGCTGCCTCGGCGGAGGCTGTGGTGGAGGATCCTTTGGTGGCATCAGTCGTTCCTACGGAGGACCCACTAATAGTTTCGGAGGTTCTGGAGGAGGAGGATCCTTCGGGGGAGGATCCTTCGGAGGAGGTTCTGGAGGTGGCGGTGGAGGAATAAGTAGCAGTTATAGAGGACCAACCAATAACTTCGGTGGAGGAGGAGGGGGCGGTGGGTCCTTTGGGGGAGGTGGATCCTTCGGAGGTGGTGGGTCCTTTGGGGGAGGTGGGTCCTTTGGGGGAGGTGGATCCTTCGGAGGTGGTGGCGGATCCTTCGGTGGCGGGTCCTCTGGAGGAGTAAGTACAAGTTACAGCGGACCAAGGACCAGCTTCGGAGGAGGTGGCCGTGGATCTGTCGGAGGGGGCAGAGGATCCTTCGGCAGAGGGTCCTCCGGCAGAGGATCCTTCGGCAGAGGGTCCTCCGGCAAAGGATCCTTCGGCAGAGGGTCCTCCGGTAGAGGATCCTTCGGAGGAGGTGGCGGTCGCTTCGGTGGCGGATCTTCTGGCGGAAGGGGCGGTGGCTTCGGCGGCGTAGGAGGATCCTTTGGCGGGGGAGTGAGCAACACTTACAGTGGCCCAAGCAATAACTTCGGAGGCTCTGGCGGAGGCGGTGGAGGAGGATCCTTTGGCGGCGGGTCTTTCAGGGGTTCAGGCGGCGGTGTGTCTGGCAGTTACCTGCCGCCCTCCGGGAAATAACTTCATCCACAGATTATATTCTATCAAACGAATGTAATGAATTTTCTGAAAATAAATTATTTAACAAAGAAACGTATTTGAGAGTCGTTAATATTTGAAAATTAACGAGAACAGGGAATATCTCGATTCTGTAACGATAATAAAAGTATGGTTATTGATATAACTGATAATGTAAAATAATATGAATAATGCCAATATTAGTAATAATTACAATGATAGGCACAGTAATAATGGTGACAGTTATACGCACACACACACACACACACATATATATAAATATATATATATATATATATATATATATATATATATATATATATCCTTTGTGTATATAATCAGAAAACTTCATAATACAAACACAGAAAACAGGTCAGCAGCATATTTAACAAAGGAAACAACCACATCACTAGCCTCCTCACATGTACTATCATCTGAGTGTGTGGCTTAAACGGACTTGAAGTAGAAATTCCTCACAACCTTCCGCGTTTCCGTGAATGTATTTTAGCGAAATAAACAATATGCTTACGTAGGATGTCTTTTTTTGTAACCTTCAACTATATACTATCTATATAAGAATGAATACATGCATTGATATATATGTGTGTGTGTGGATTTATCGATATATATATAAATCACCGTGTTATGCACTATTTACACAAGACTGAATAGATAGATAGACAAGCAAATCTATATCTAAAAAATAAATAAATGTGTATATATATATACATATATATATATATATATATATATATATATATATATATATATATATATATATATATATATATATATATATATGTATATAAATGTATATATATATATGTATATATATGTATATGTATGTATATATATGTACTTATATATACATATGTATGTACGTGTGTGTGTACGTGTACAAGATACACATACACGCACCCACGCTTGTTGAGACACAGACACGCACACACAAGCGCACGCATACACATACTCATGCTTACATAGGCACATACAGAGGCGTGCGTGTATGTATATATACATAAAGCACACATAATACAGAAATACACACACACACATACATATATATATATACATATATATGGTGTGCTTGACTGC